ATAGAAGAAAATAGAAAAACTTCATGAAAATGGATCATATTTTTCTGTTTATGAGCGCTTCTTGTTTTTAATCTCGGGAACTACTTTTTTGGGGGATTTAGTCGGAAGAATAAATCAATCCCTAGAGTCATCCATTTTGACAATTTTTTTTTTTTTTTATAAAATTGTTGTTGTTATTTTCTAGTAGCAGCTTTAGTAAAATACACGATTTTCTTACAGTTTAAGATGTATGAATGAACTTTTTATTTCATTACCGTCATTGAACAGATTGTCCAATTTTGGGGTTTATGACCACCAATGTTCAACTCCTTAGCCTTGCAATTTTGAGCCCAATCCAGAAGACAAGGGAACTTCTGGATCAAGTATTAGGATAAATTCGCTTTCGTAGGGGACTTATGATGGAACTAACCTGCATTTGCGTTGCATGGAAAGGAAGACAACGCGAATCTCCCATGGTTAGCCTGACGGCAAGGGGACTCTAACCCATGATCCGTCTACCACTGAGGATATTTCACCTCAGCACTGAGGTTAGTGCAAGCCGGATGCGGACTTCGCATCTGCCAACCATCGCTGGGATTCGAACCCAGTTCGCCTCATTGAAATAACTTAAAAAATGTCAGATCTTTGCTATTATTTTTTTTAACATCAGGATCTACTATCTCGGAAACTTGAACCATTGAACAAGTCTTTTGAAGCAGATGAGACAACGGCGTCAATTTTACTTTTTTTTCTGATGCTTTAATTAAAAGTAATAATATATTCTGGTAATTTTTAATTATAACCGCCTAATAGTGTCTAAAAAATGTTAAAAGCTAGTTACTATTATAATAACGAAAATTAAGTGTGGTTGGAGTAGTATGGTATAATTGACTAATTAAAGATCGTGATGAAAGCAGGATAATGAAAATAATAGTTGAAGATGAAAACTGGATCATAATTATCATAAAAGTTTTATTTAGTATTTGTAAAGCTCGAGATACAAAATTGTATTTTATCCCTCATAAGACTTTCTAAGTTTAATAAATTTTGTATAATAATATCAATAAGAACATTCCATGGGTTACATTCCCCAATAACCAACCTAATCAAAAACAACAGACAGCTAAGAGCCTGGGAAGAGATCCAAGATTGGCGAATTATCGAAAGATAACATAGTCAAAAATAAAGCCAACACCCTATAATCAATATTAGGTTTGAAAATACTTTGGCGATAGCGAATCACCAACAAGACTGTGAGAATTAGTATAACCGTGTACCTGAAACATGCTTGCAGTAAGAAATAAAGAGTTATAAATAGATTTTTGTTTTCGATTTAGTGAATTAATGAGTCTACATTAGGATTGAAATAAAAAGTTGGCCGTTAAATAGATCGATAAGAAAAGAATAAAATATTTTATACTCGCTTTTTATAAATTGTAATAAAAATTAAATACTTGATTTAATTTTATTAAAATTCTGTAAAGAATGATTAAAAAATAAGTTGAAATTAAAAGAGATTATAAAGGTTAGGATATATGTAATGCCTACTGCGGCATTGTAATTATATTTGTACTAAAAAACAAAATCCTAAAAAAGTAGTTTGAAAATTTTTCTTTTCATTCATAACCAAAAAATTATCAAATAATTGATTGTGTAAATTAAAGAAATTTTTATTATGAATAACTGTTTCTCTTAAATCTAAACAACTGAAAATCAGTGCAAATTTGAAAAATTATTGTTTGGATGTGAGCCTTGTTTGGAAGATTTTACCTTTAACGCAGAAAAAAACCATCGATGTTTCATACTGTATTCCATAACCATAAATCATTAACCATAACCATAAATCAATATTTTTCCCTAATTTTAACCTAAATTAATAAAACAAAAGAATGATAAAAAAAAGTATGAAAAATATGTTTAATAAAAATTCATAGCGCCGTTGTTGAATTTCAAACATTATTAAAGTTACAACAAATTTGGATGATATTACGGTTGAACTCGTTTCAAAAATTCTACTAGTGTAAAATATCTGAAGCGTTTCAAAAATTTAAGAGACATTTAAAAAATGTAACTTCATAGTTATGACAGATTGTTTATTAAATCAAAATAACAATGTTTAAAGGCAATACAATGATATCAAATTGTTTGTTAAAATAATAAATATATTTCTACCCTATCCCTCAAAATCTTCCCTTTTTTTCCCCCCACTGTTTCTCGGTCATTCAACTCAGTTTTTTTATGCATAGATAAAATGCATAATCGTAATAAAAGGGTTTTAACCTATTGAAACATCTACCCCTTTCCGTTACTGACGTAGACCCCTCATTTGCCCCCTTTATTCCCTCACGTCCCTCCACTTTTCCGTTGCTGCGATCGCCCTTCACGATCCTCAGAGAGAAATTTTATATTTTTTATCCATTCTCTTAATTTTTTATCCATTCTCTCTTCATAGGATTTCTATATATATATATAAGATAAAATGAGATAGATCAAAGAAAAATATCCTAAAAATTTCCTTTTTGTCATTGATAACAAATCACTTTGATTACTTAGAGTTAAATTTTATCATTTAAAAGTTGATGACATCATCTTTATTACAAATTCTGAAGAAAATTTTTTTTTCTAGTAATAGCGAAAAAAGAGCGAGTGAAATTTGAGACCTATATATTTTTGATTACACACGATTCTGCATTTTGATGCTTACGATTTTGAAATATAAAAAGATATTTTGGTTAAAAAAATATATTTTTAAATTTGATATCTATTCAAGAAAAAAATATTCGACAGATCGTTTAATCTAATAATATTTTTAACCATTTGAAAGTTGATAACATTAGCTCTATTTAAAGGGTGAAAAAACTTTGTAACACTTAATGAAAGATAAATAAAAAATAAACAAAACTTGTTACGTCCTTAATGGGCACTAAAAAAAACAGAAAATTGTATTCAGAGTTTCAAAAAATCCCTGTTTTATATTTTAATGAATTTTAAACAAAAGAACTATTATACCATAGGATGACTCACATATCTAAGCATTATATCAGGTGGACAAAATAATAAAAAAACTTCTATACTAATACATTTTTTCACAATTCTCCAGAAATGCTTAACGTATTATTTTATAACTTCAGAAGTATTTAGATCATGTGGTTTCTCATACGTATCACTGAAGTTTAAAGGTTTAGAATTTTGAGGGACTGAACATAAATTATCAATGGAAAATAATGTTTTTGAACACCGCATGCCAAAAAATTTGACAATAGATGTGTAACTTATGGCAGTTATTTTGGTTACTATATGCAATCATTACACAAAATTTCGTTAGGCTAGTTTGAATATTTATGCAGATATGGACATTTTTATAAATAAAACAAATTTTTTGTTTTATGCTTTACTATAACTTTAAAAAAATTCCAAACAGCGCAAAATATGAATAGTTTAAGTAGTTTCTTAATACTGAGCATGCACGATAAAAATTTTAGAAAATTTGTTAATTTTATAGTGAATCATATTTGGCAACTAATGAAAAAAGTCTTATTTGAATATCTTAAAAATTTATAAAGTTTCAAGCAATTTTCGATGTAGTTTTCGTACTTTTTAAAAAAAAAGGCTCGAAAGGATAAGGGATTTTCTACAAATATTATTCTGTGTCATAAGACAAAATTTAATAACAAATAATAATACCTTAAAATAAACGTTCATACACCAAAATGTGATTTAATAAATAAAGAAAACAGAAGAAAATAAAGTTACTTTTATGGGAGATAATTCCTAACAATGCTGGAGTCATTTTTAAAAAATCTTGGTAAATAGTACAAAATGAAATATGTAGAAACCCCTTATCATTTTGAGCATTCCTTTAAAAAGTACGAAAACTACTTAGGAAATTGCTTGAAACTTTTTAAATTTTTAGGATATTCAAATTGGACTTTATTTATTATTTGCCAAATACGATTCATTACAAAATTAAGAAAAAATTAATTGCATCGAATATTTTTAAAGTTATAGCAAACATTAGTTCTTTTTTTAATAAAAATGTCCATATCTCCTTAAATAATTAAGCTAAATTTGGGAAATTTTGTGCAATTATTGCATTTAATAACCAAAATAACTGTCACAAGTTACAAAAATATTGCTACATTTTTCGGCATAGGCATTCAAAAACATTATTTTCAGTTTGTAATATATTGTCGGTTACTTAACTATCTAAAAGCTTTAAACTTTACTCTGATATGTATGACTAGTCACATGATCTAAACATTTCTGAAGTTATAAAATAATTCGTTAAGTGTTGCTTCTGGCGAAATGCTGAAAAATGTATTAGTATGGAAGTGTTTCCATTATTTTGTCCACCCCCTGTATATATAATCTATATAAATATATATGATATTAAGCCTAAATATGTATATAATCAGTATACACCACCCAATAGTAATGGAAGAGTTTTTTGAAGCAATTAAAAATTAAAAAATATTTTTAAAATTTGAAAGTAAATCGTTAAAAACTGAGAGCAAAATATTATCACTTTAAGTATATATCCTATACTGCGCATGCGCGGAAAAAAACTAAAAATTTCTTTTTATATTTTTAAACTGAAATGAATTTGGAACTAACTTATTGTGAATTTTAAAAACTTAAATGGCTTCTAAACAAAAAAAATATATATATATAATATTAGATTTTTTTTTTCATTGTTTACGACTGTTCAATGATGGATACAGCATTACGACCTGTTTTTAGCTGGCTGTGGACGTGCTAAGAGGACTCTATACCGTAAGATGAATCCGCGATGACGAATTCTCTTTCCCTTACATAAATAATTTTAAATCCAAATTTTAAAGATAGGTGACTTCAGGCAAACTTCGCGAAAACCATAGAGTTTCAAATGCTGAAACCAAATTTTGAAAATATAGAGATGCAAACAAATAATGGCAGGATTACCCAGAAGAGAAATAATCCACAAATAATTTGTCAGCATTTTTAACATTTTGAAAGAAATTTTTTAAAAAATATTTACGTACCATAAATATTCTGGAAATGTTTATTTCACTTCCTCCGGTAATGGAAAGATATATATACAGCAGCGTGGAGACAAACCTTTTACGGGCTTTAAAGCTGAACACCTAAAAGAGCAGAAATGACCGGATTAGTTTCTGAAACTTAATAAATTTCTAACTTAATGGAATTTTATATATATATAAANATATATATATATATATATAAATAATAAAATTATTTTTAAAAAATTTATTCATGTATCTTTAATAAAAAAAACATTCAAATTCCAGAAAAAAAATAAAGAAAAAAAGGTATAACCTCTTCATCAGCTCACACAGTTATATTCACAAAAGAGTGCATTCTAATATTGTATCAATATAGTCAAAGCAAAATACACCAATACAATAGCACTGAAAAACATTTTTTTTATGAAACGAAAACATAACACAGTAATTAAAAACTATACATGAAATAAAACAAACCAACCAAAAAATCAGAACATTATAAGTAAAGGAGATATATAATAAAACGCGAAAAGAAATGTATAAGGCCTGGAGCGAATTCAAATGAACTTACACGTGCCGGAATCATTCAAGAATGATTTAAAATATTTTTGTAATACGATTGCCAGATTACAAAATATGAAAACAGAAGTGTAAATAAAGTGATCTCTTATGGCACGTTCTTGCTGCAATACTGAAGAGCGTCTAATATGTTAGATACCTAGAACTGGCCCGAAAATGGATATGCGCAAAGTAATAATATTATACCGGATAATTTAAAGTTTTAATAAATAAGGTTGATATATTTAATTATGCAATTTAAATGATTTTAGAAAATTAACAATTATTTAAAAAGTTACAATTATGTATATATATGTATAGATATATGTATGTGTATATATGTATATAAAGTACTTTTCGTCTCATTCCTCAATATTTTATTCACAAATCAAAGGAATTTTTATCTCCCTTTATACATCACTTAATAAAAATTCGTGCATTGTCAAATCCTTCCAGTTACCACATTCCCCTTATCCCACAAGTGGGGGTTTTGAGGAGATCTGTTCTCCAGGGAAGAACATACGAAAAGAGGCATTCCGGAGAGATAAGCAAAAGAATTCTGTTCAGTCCCAAGACAATTTTTCCTTCCCAATTCTCTTCCAGCATCCCCTTTTATATATCTTCTCTTTATTTCCCTACCCCCTTCTTGGAAAGTGAAATGCCTGGCTACAAATGTTTATGACGACAGTAACTTTGACGTCACTAACAATGCTCTGCAATGGATTCTGAAAACTCCTTTTTTTTGTCAATCGTGACTGGATTCCAGTCTTTCTCAATGTAATTAACTACTGAGTGCTTTTTTTTCTCTTAGACTATCCCAATCAGCTGTTTGATTTCACTATTTTTTTTTCTAGAATAATATTAAAAATAAATTGAAGCATGAAATAAAATAATCTTTCAGCTTCAGGAGACATGTTTCATTGCCTGTCATTACAAATAAGGCTTACAGACTCATAACAAGACAAATTGCGCAAAAGTATGTGAAACAAATGCAACACACACTGTTTCAGTTGGTAAACATAATTTATAGTTCTTAAATTTTTTCTTCATACTTTACCAATTTCAAACCTGTGTTTGAAATTGGTAAAGTAATTTATGAAATTCTCATCATTAGAGGTCTTTATAATTGGGAAGTTACAAGGATTCATTTTTAATGCAGTTTTGTCTAAAGATAAATACATAAATTAAATTTAAAAAAAACACTATCAATAAATTTTAAGCTTCGTTCAAAATTACAAAAAAAGTGACGCTAATGGTGAGTCCTTGATAATTTTAATAGCTTAAGTAAATTCATAATTTCTTAAAACACAATCAGAAATTTTTTTTGTATTATAAAAATATCGTATGCTTAATTCTTTACATGCAGTGTCTTTTTTTATGCATTTCCATAAGGCATAAATATTTATAATTTTACTCTATAATTAATTATTTATTATTCATAATTAACTTTAATTGGTTAAGTATTTGTAATAATAATTACAATTACATATTAAAGAATAAAATAGATTGTCTTTCCTTGGATCCCATGTACTTTTGCCAAGTATAAAAGCGCAAATAGTGTCACCGTTGAGGTACAGCATCAAATAGTACCTTAAACCGAATTTTCTTCTCTTTTTTCGGATTATTTGACAGAATTCGTTCAAAAAATTTTATTAATAGGCAAAAATATAATGCTTTTAAATATTCTGCTTAAAAAAATTAAAAGTTGAAATCGATAAATAAAAATACAACACTCTTCTCAACATAAATTATCCTCCAGAAACGAAAATAAAACGTTTTTTATTATTATCATAAAAATATGGATTTAATTTTTTTTTTTATACTAAGTGGGTCATTCTATTTTTTATGCCAGGAAAAATAAGAATGAAATCCAAGACATATTTTCGTTATTTTTGCATAGATAAACTTGTCGAAGATCAAATCAAATCTCCTTATTTTATTCAAGATTTCCTGTGTCAAAAAATTTGGTTATGTTACCCAACTTAAGATTTGGTACATCGTAATTTATATCATAGTAATTATTAATAGTTCATTTATAAATAGATTAAGACTTTATTTTTAAAAAAAAAGTCGTTGATAAGCTACCTTTCTATACTTCGTTTAGGTTTTTTCTTATTTTTTTCAATATTTATTTTATCAATTTCATATTTTGCATTCATTTTTTAAGCTTGTAAAACTGTAACAATAATTTAAATTATATTTTAAATAATTAGCGTTTTATTTATTACTGTTTATTACATAAATACTGAGGATTTAATTGCTAGTTTCCTTATCGTCTCTTTAAACAAAAGTTTTTAAATTCTAGTAACTCTTGAGTATAAAAATTAAATTAGCATTTATCTAGTTAGTTTGTATTAAAATTAACAAGCAAAATATATAAAAACAAAAGAGTCAGAAGGCAATCTCAACACTGTATGCAAGACAAATAATTATAACAATAAAAAATAATTATGATTTAATATTTTAGAAAATTTATAAATTGCTTCACTCTGATTACCGATAACAACAAACAAAAGCTAGTCAATACAAATAATTGATAACAATTTAATTGATTTTATTCGTTTTAAAAAGTTATAAAAATTTTATAGAATAGGCGCTAAGTATCATTGCATTGCTGGAATGGAATATTTTATTCCTAGAAACCCAGTATTAAGTTTAGTTCACAAAATCTTATCAAGATGTCGTAGGGTTAGGGTGAAGAGGTACTTGTACCCCTCAAGCAATCGTTCGAATTCAGAATTCGTGATTTCTGGAAAGCAAAAATGTCACGTTGCTACACCGTCAGCCCTTTTTGAAAAGATAACAGGCGAGCTATTTTTCCTTTAAGTATTATTAAAATATCCTAGAAAGTATCTTCTTGCTCTTTAGAATAAGCTTCCCGAGATCAAAAGAGTAACGAAATTCAAAAAATTATTTAAATATTACAATTTGAAAGAAGTAGGTTATACCTATGCTTAAATTTATAATTTTTTTTAATACTTAAATAAAAACTGTAGTTTTAATGGATACGTTTATAATTATCACAGAAATATGTTATAATTAATATTAATTTCAATCGATTACTTGAGTCAAACAATGTCAATTAAAAAAATTTTTTTATTTTTTATTAATGTTATTATAATTATAATAATTATTATTATAATTATAATAATTATTATTATTATAATTATTGTTATAATTATAATAATTATAATTATTATAATCATTATTATAATTATTATTATAATTATTATTATAATTTTAATAATTATTATAATTATAATTATTGTTATAATTATTATAATAATAATTATTATTATTGCATTTATTATAATAATAATGATTTTCTGCAAACATGATTACGTTTTTACGAGTTCATGATTTGTCAAAGAGTTCAACGGTAAAAAAGATTACAACAGTAACAGCAGTAAAGTAACGTCAAATAAGACTATCCCAGAAACAACATATTGTTATTAATTTAAAATGTATTTGTTTAAAAAAAAGTAATTGGTCACATTTTGAATTTTTTGGAGGAAAAAAAGCATGACTTGTTTGAAATTTTTTATTCTTTATTACCATATAAAGAGCTCGCAAAAGTGTAACAAATCTTTTGGGAATTATTTAAAAAACAATTTAAAAGTTATATTTAAAAGTTAAAAGTAGAGTTATGATTCTATGTTCAACATTTTTGGTTAATTTTGAATGAAAATATCCCTTTTTCAGAGTCATTTCGCAATTTAAAAGAAACCTGGACATTAAATTAAAAAGATAATTTTTAAAAAATTATATTTTTTAAATAATTTTCTTTTAAATTTTCAAAAATTATTGATTAATAATAGTTCAAAGTTTATGGAAACAAATTTGTAATGTTTCGCTTAGCTTTATATTAGCGTATAATTAAAGTGCTTGTGGTAAAATTAATTTAATGAGATAATATTTTAAAAACTTAAGATAGCTATATGAAATTTGTAATGTTTACAATACAAACATTTCAATGTGATTTATTTTTTATTAAAATTGTAAAATAAATAAGATTTTAATGCATTAACTCTTATAAATCAAAGAAAAAATATATATATTAGTTTACAAAGAATTTTAATAGCAATTAAATAAAAATTAAAAATATGCTTATTTGTATTCAAAATTAATATATGGTACACTATTAAATCAGAAACAACAAAATTGAAATGAAGGAATTAAAACATTAAAACTCAAAACTTTTAAACTTAATTAAATTACATTTTTAAAACTTTTAAAAAATTTCGCAGATAGTAGATTTATAAACAAAGTTTGCTTACTTATGAAGCATAACAAAAAATTTGAAAAATTGTATTTAATAAATTCCCCTCTCATTGAATTATTTAAATTTTATATATTCTAAAATATGGATCGAAATTTCAATTTAGAAATATTAATAAGGAATTATTTAGAGTATTATTATAGAAATATTATTTAGAATAATTAAATACATATAGCAAAAGGTATTAAAGACAGTATGCACTTTTTTATATTATATAAAGGAAAATCAGAAACATCAAAATTAGAATTCGTGAATTGAAATCATTATAATTTAAAATCCAAAGATTAAAAAATAAATTTTTAAAGCCTTTAAAAAGCTAGTCTCTTATAAGATTTACGGACTAACTTCTTTTACTAACTAAGCAAAAGAAATACACAAACATTCAATAATAATTATAAGATATACGGACTAACTTTTCTTACTAATTAAATAACAGAAATACACAAAAATTCAAGTACAATAAATTGGAATTTATGAGTTCTCGCCTCATTAATTTTTTTTTAATTTCAAAAATTTAAAATAAACTTATACTCACACATCAACGAAAGCAAGCTTTTTTCTCAGAAGAAGTTTTTTTGCCAACCAGAATGAATTTTGCTTTCAAACTGTTTTACTCTCTAAAATATCATATTTTTCTAAATACAACTTCTTTGGAATGAGAAATATGTTACATTTTGATACAACTCTGAAGGGAGAGAATTGATGCCAATGTACTTTTCAAATGAAGTACAGTTTCAGTACAGAAGTCAAAGTACAGTTTCAAATGAAGGAATTTTACGATATGTTTTTCTCAAACAATAAAGTCTGTACACTTTCATACTTAATCTTGCATTATGATCATTTATAATTTAGTGTTTTTAAGATTTAACAGCAAACTACACTATTTAACATCTTTAAATTAATTTACGAGGACAGCGATTTGAAAAGTTCGTCGAATCTACATCAACACACAAAGTTTTTTTTTTTTACAGTAAAACCGAATCGATTATAACACACGCATATATATACAAATAGAGTGTTCAAATTGATCTGATGAGAAATTTATCACAAATATTTAAATTGAACTGCAAAATTATATATGTTGAAAATATTTTCTTTTTTACTTTCAAACAAACCCTTTTAATTTTGTGCTTTTTCTTCAATGTTATTCTTTTTCTTCAATTTTTTTTTCTTACTTTGCATGTAAATTATTTTCATTTGCTTAAATCAAAGATTAATGCCTTTTTATTGAATAAAATTAAACTTCCGTTTAGTGATAATTTAGTGGATTTTGTATCAATCAGGTATTTTCCGATTTTCTCCAAAAATAATCAAAAGAACTTATCAAACAGGTGCTGGTTAGAGTTCTATCTTTATATCTATCTGTTTATAAATATTTATAAATCTACAGAACTATTCCAATTAATTCTAACTTTTTCCTTGCATGAATGTAGAATATTTCGTATGGACTGAAACACTGATAATTCTTAATGTGTCCATATTTATTTTTACAATTAATTCATACTATCTTCATATGTATATTTACTGATTATTCTTACTATATCCATATTGATTCGTACATTCTTCATTTTTATTCTTCCTGGTGATTCTATCTTATTGTTGTGCATCGATGTCCTATTATCTTCATTTACATTCTTACACATTATTCTTTCTGTATCCATATCGATTCTTACATTCTTCAATTTCATTCTTCGTGATGATTCTGTCTTATTGTTGTGCATCGATGTCCTACTATCTTTATTTACATTCTTACACATTATTCTTACTATATCCATATGCATTCTTATTAATGATTCTTACATTCTTCATATACATTCTTCCTGATGATTTTATCTTCATTATATCTTCGCACTGATATTTTCTATTTTAATATTCATTTTTATAGCGATTTTTTACTCTCTGAATATTCAAATCTGTTGATGATTCTTTTTGGCTCGTTAATTCTAACTAATAATTCTAATTATCTTCGTAACGATAGTTCTTACTCTTCATGTTGACTCTTACTATTCCATCCATTTTCTTATCGATTCCTACTAATATTCGCAATCCTCAGATTGACTTTTTAAATTATTCTTATTGAATTCCATAATCACTATTTTCACTTTCATTCATAGTGCCCGTATTATAACATAATGGTAATTATAAAAAAAACCTGCATTTTCTAGTGAATCTTCAATTTATCATAAAATTTTAGGACTTTCTGCTAATGAAAATTCTAAGCTTCACGAAGCCTCATAATACTACTTTCATGAAACTGTATGATGTTCCTTAATGTTGAGTTCAATAATCAAACATATTGGAAAATAAATAAATAAAAGTTGCATTGTTCAGTCTTTCAAAGTTTTAAGCCGTTGCAAACATAGCTTCTAACTTAGATAGAAGCAGTTTCTTGTGATATTTTGAAGTAGAGGAATCGAAACAAAACCAAGTAGCTTGTATTTTCTTCAAAAAAAAACCAAAAAAAATAATCGGAGATTCAGAACTATTTTTGCCATAAAATGCAGCTATACTTTTTCTTTTTTAACTTTAGTCCCAAATAGTTTCTGGAAAACTTTTGATTAAATAAGCACGAAGAAAAAACTTTTTCCAGTATTTGAATCATCCTTCTAAGTCTAACTGAACTTTGGAGAGTTCGGGTAATGGCAGTTTGAAAAGTTTTTTCATACAACAAATACCTCTCCTGTTGAGGATGAAGAACCTCGTACTACTTGCTCTTCATTCATTTTTCAACTTTCTTGATCAGAGTGGATTTTGCCAAATATTGAATTTTGGACAGAAAAAGTCATTTGGACACTTAAAATTAACATAAATTCTTGTTTTACTGTCAAAAATAGAAAACGTGATAAATTTGATGTAGGTCCAGTTCAACAAATTCATATACAATATTCTCTTACTCCATTTTGAATTCTTATCGTCGTTGTCTAGACTTCAAAATAAAATACAATCTGCGAATACCGTTCCGAAAAAAAGAGCCATTTTATTGATATCAAGTTTGTCAATCCACCAGACTTCCTGGTATTTTGAATTGACTCTTCTGTTCTTCATAGTCCTCTTTCACGCATGCGCCGAAGTCACTTCCCTCCAAAGCTAAAACGAAACTCCATATTCCCTAACTAAAAATTCTTCTCTTCACTTCGCTTCGAAAGGAAAGCAATATCGTCTGCGTTTGAACAACAAGTATCGATTATTTTCCTCTCTCGTCGCATTCTTCTAAATAGACATCAACGAGAGAATTGTATCGAAAAGTCGAATGATATTCTTTTCCACAAGTGAATTTGATCCAATTGCTACGAAATGAACTCTTTCTTTAAAAGAAGAGAATGCTTAAGCCTCTACACAAAGAAGGTTGAATATCGTTTGGAAGGAAGTTTCTTCCTTGTTTGAATTTAATTCCACCCGTTCTTTCCTGTAAATTCACTCGTCTTCAGCATCCAAGAAAATTCAGTAAGCACATAATCTTTTGGAAGGTTTTGAGGAAAAGCCAGCAGAAAAGGGCAACAAAAAATGGGCTTCTTGCTGCAGGAATCCTTAGAAAAGGAAGAGCGGGAGGCAGCCTGGCTCTTAGAATCCCACACGGGATGCTGAAGAGCGAAATCCCAGCAGCATCACTTAGCAGCTCTCGCGTGTACTTTAGATGGCCGCCTCTGATTGGATCTGTGTGTGTAATTACTGTTATCGATTTTGTCACGTGTGCAAGGCTCGGAGTCTTTTGTTCTTTGCTCATTACATTATAATTCTTTTTCACTTCCCTACCCCCATCTTCTCTCTCTCAACGTCATCACATCCCCATCCACACACCCCTTCCAAACTACCGCAATTAAAGAAGTGACACGTTAGTGGAGGGGGGGTAGGCATTCCTTACGCCCGCGATATGCAAGTAAAAAATAAATGCTGCGATGACCTATTTCCCCCCGTCATTACCATAGCAACAACGTTTGCTTTTAATGAGAGTGTCCCAATCGTAACCATGGGAACAAGTGGATAGAAAGATAGTCTTAATTGAAATAAATTATCATTTTTAATGAGTTACGCCTGTATATTGGGAGGTGCTTAACTTGAATAATTAACTCATTATTTTTTTTTAATAAATGAGTTGAAGTTAGTTACTTTTCCACCAGGGGAAAAATCAATTTCATGGTGGCTTCTTGAACTGATAACTTCAAAACATTAACTTTTAACATATTGACCTTCAATTTAAGGTTTCCTAGCTGCATGGTTATATAAATTGTATTTAACTCGAATTAAATAGGTCGTAAAGTAAAAAAGTTTACTTATTTTTCGAGGCTATGTTTCATCATTTGTAATCTAAAATTCATTATTATTACTTCATTTATTATATAAATTGTTATAACCAATATTCCATTTAGTCTCATAGCAAAAACATGATATTATTTATTTATTGGGTTATATTTCATTGTTTACATTTTTAAATGAAAGTTATTGTTACTCCTTTTATCAAAATGTAGTGATCCATATTCCATTTAGTATCATAGAATCATTCCATTAGTATCATTACCAATTTTTTTTGAAAAAAAATTGGTAAGAATTGAAATTTTGTATTTAAATTGGTATTAATTGGATTAAAAATTGGATTTGTATTTAAATTAGATTAAAAATTGGTATTTTTTTGGGAAAAAAATGTAAAAAAATCAACATATTTTTTTAATTTTATGAATAAATACAATGAACTAAAGAAAACATAATACACAAGTTTTAAGTTGAAATTGTAATTTTTTTATGTATAAAAAGCATTTAATTTACCATCACTTTACGATCCCTAGTTACCTCGGGCAATTGAAATAAGTTAAATATTAGTCTTAGTGTTGTCCCTTGTTTAAAAAATATACTAAGTGATACTTTCTAAATGCCACTGAATTGACACGCCATATTTTACTATTCTTTTTTTCTAAGCAAATTAAGCAACTATCGTATATACAATCGTACAAAACACGTGTGCAGTCCCACAATCCAACAGCAAAACTTGTCAATCTTTCAAACCAATCACAGCAGATTTATTTATTTCTTCCGGCTGAGTATAAACGTGAGAAAACAAAACGTACTGACAAATTCTGCTACGCCCGAGTTTACTCGGGATAATAAATATTTGTAACATTCATATACCCGAGTTGACTCGGGATAATAAATATTTGTAACATTCATATACCCGAGTTAACTCGGGATTATAAATATTTGTAACATTCACATACCCGAGTTAACTCGGGATAATATATATTTGTAACATTCATATACCCGAGTTGACTCGGGATAATAAATATTTGCAATACCCGAGTTGACTCGGTATAATAAATATTTGCAATACCCGAGTTGACTCGGGATAATAAATATTTGTAACATTCATATATCCGAGTTAACTCGGGATAAAAAATATTTGTAACATTCATATACCCGAGATTACTCGGGATAATAAATGTTTGTAACATTCATATACCCGAGTTAACTCGGGATAATCAAGGAAGCGGTTAATTGTTTCAAGGGGTGACCTCAAATATGCTAATTAATTAGTGCAGACCATATTTTAAGTTACAAAATCAGACACAAAAGCTTACTTTTTGGATTGAGCATACATCCCCCCCCCCTAAGAAATTTTATTTCTCACTCTCAAAACATAAGCCGTAGGCACAATCTTGGAAATCTCGTCCTATTAGCTTGATCAGGAGAGCGATATTAATTTTACTTTATTTTTATGTTAATTTTACTTTTTACGTGTCTCTAGAATTTTTAAAAACGAATCTAAAATTTTTTGCACTTATTTGTTATTTATTCATAAATAGCAGAAAAAAAATGTATAATTATTTATTATTTCATTTAATAACAGTCAAAATTTCTTGAATTGTTCGGTATACAAATTTTCACATCATTTCAAAGAATGTAATTTTATTTTTCAATATGCGAAATATGAATAATCGGTCGAATTACTCTTGAGAAGTCTAGATTGAAAGAAGTCGTATATTTAAAATTTATTTGAGGCAGCCACACAAATTTTGAGGGTCAGAAATATAAAACCATCGAGGATAAGTTTATTGAGAGAACGTGCGTTTTTGTGTCTGATTTTGGAGCAATATCATCTGCCTTAATTAATTAGCATATTTGAGGTCACCCCTTCGAACCATTGGGTCCTAGTAGGCGAAGATACAATTATTTGACCAAAAGTTGTTCAGTATGATATATATAGCATACTTAGCTGAATTTGTTTTGGCTTTGCCAGGACAAATTCAGTATTTCAAATGAGAAAACAAGTAATTTTTTTATAGTTTATTTACAAAATTTTCCTCAAGAAATTAATTTTTAGCTCAATATTTTTTAAAAGACTCTGTCGATACGTGAAATAACGGTTTTTTAATAATTAAATTAACTTTCTATGAACCTTGCTACTGTTATTCATGTATTCAATCATATGTTCAATATTCAACTGTTGCAACAGTTATTCATGGATGTTAAGCTAGAATTAGTTAGCGCCCGATATGCTAATTCTGAAAATGGAATATGTTTTTAATCTATAAAATACACAGTTTTGAAACTAAAATATTAATTTTGAACTAATTATAGACTAAAATATATTTTTATCTGTAAAATGGGAGAATGTCTTGTATGTAACGCAAGAAATTACTAATAACTGAATACTTTGAAGACAATGGCACGTTTTGAAAGCATATTCAATTAACTTTTGTAAACAAGTACGTATCAAATGCTTTATATTATAATGTTTTATAACAAAAAAGCAGATCAATATTCAACTGCTTTATGACAAAAAAGCAGATCAATATTCAAAATTTTGGGCAAAAATTATGAACAAAAAAAATATTTTGACCGAATTCCCAGTCAGCGTCGGACGAGCGATATAATATAAATACTACGGCAATAATAATACAAAATAATAATAATAATCTTTAATTACTAAATCGTGTTTTTTATTTTCTGTCCTCCTATCTTATGATGGGTTTTCTTTTTGCAAATTTAAACTTTATTTATTTAATAATTTTATTGCAAAAATTTCTGAATCAAACCAGCATCATTAATCTAACAATTAAGATTGCATCAATTCCCTAAAATCATAAATAAAACAAATTAGAAAACAAAACTTGCTGTAAAAATCTACAACATACAGCAAATATCCGCATTTCCAGAAAAATATGTAATGTTGAATTTTTGAGAAAAATAATGGGAATGCAATTATTAAATTGGATTCCAACTGATCTTTAATTTTTTTTGTTGATAATTTAAAAAGTTTTTTTGATAATTAATATTAAAAGAAAGTAATAACTCTTACGCATCTAATTATAAAAAAAAGTTATCTTAATTGACTTGAATTTCTAAATTACTACGTTTTCAAGACTTTAAATTTTTTTTGCAATGTTCAACCGAAAGAAAGTTTAATCAAAATGTATTAGTTTAACATCGAATGTTTTTCTTTAATTTTTATTATTCTTGAAAAGATACTAAAACCAATAATTCATGAAGTATATTTAATCATTAAATTGTGCCGATCAGACTGTGGCCTTTCATCAGAAAGGTTCTGTTTTCGAATCCCGGGCAAGGCATGGATGTTCCTTCATTCTCTGTACTATCTGCCCTTACTGTGAGAGCAACCTAATATGGTGCCTCTAAAAGAGTAGCCAACAAATCTGCCCTGTAAATGCCTGAATTTGCGAAATGTTTACGCAGGTGGGCACAGGAAATATTAAAAAAATTAATTAATTGTTGGTGAAAATATTTCATAGTCATTATTTGATGATCAGTATTTAGCATCATTTCCTGATTATTACTTTAATGATTATTTCAGACCATGCTTTGTCTATCTAGGTACAAATCAAAAATATTTTATGCCCTAAAAATAAAATGCGTATCTTAGTATCCTTAAATGACTTGACATAATATGAGTCAATATTAGGGCATCATTATTTTAAAATAACTTTCAACACTAAAAAGCATATCTGAAAGACCTAAGTTTGAACTATCTTCAATCCTAATATTGTGCTAAGACGGTTTGAGACGGATTCCTATCAGAAATCTTTGTGGCCGTCTTGAACCATATTACCACTCAAATTAGCTTCAACCTTAATATTGTGTGCTTAGACAGTTTGAAACAGATCCCTAATAGAAATTTTTTTGTGAATTTTTAACAAAAATATCATTCAAATTTTCCTCTTTTCAATTATTGTTCAAAATTATACCCCAATACAGGGTGGTCCTAAAATATATGTCAAAAATGTAAAGGTAGGTAGAGGGGACATAAACAAGCATACTTCGGATATGAATGTGTGTGCGGTAATGGCACACTAAAGCACTAGCTTGTAAAGCAGTATGAATCAGAGGAAACTGAAAAGACAAGTAAAGACAAAAGAAAAGAAAAATTTATCAACAGTTTACAAGAGGTGCTCGAAAGAGCACCAACATCGATACAAGATTCAAAGCGACGGCGCATGGATCGGCGTACATTAGAAAAGACGTTAGGCATGTCGAGTACATGCAAAGCAGCAACAGATCTCCTTGATGGGATCTCCTTGATATGACCCCAAAAGAAAAAATCCCAGCAGGTTAAATCAGGAGAACGCGGTGGNATAAAATATGCAAAAGTATAAAGTTTCTTCAAATTCGACGTATTCATTAGTTTTTTAAATAGATCAAATAGACAAAAACTTTCGGGATAAGTAATTTAATCTCTGTTTTTCTTTATTTTATTTTATTTATCTACTTACATATTTTTATCAATGAGAAAAATTCAAACTATAAAACACTTGTCAAGACTTTAAGATTTGAATATTTTATTAAACTTTTAGAAACGGTAAGACACATTTAACTTACAAAAACAAGAGTTTGAAACTTCGATTTCAGATAAAATATAAAAGTTTTGAGCATCACTTGTTGTTCTACACTGGTAAAACTTTGGCAATGTTCAACCATAATATTGTTCTGAGCT